GGACCCCGCTAACCGTTGCCGCCCCCCCTCCCCCCGCGATTTTTCGCGGTCCCACCCACCGCGCCCCTGCCTGGCAAAGAGGACCCCGCCAACCGGCAAACCCCCCCCGGCGCGATTTTTCGCGGACCCGCCCGCCGCGCCCCTCCCGAACCGTCATGCGGCGCGCTGCGATTTCTCGTCACCGTCCCACGGGCACGTCCCCACGACCCCGCGGTACCGCGCGAGGGCCTCCCTGCCCGACTTTCCCTGGGCCCGGCGGCAGCGTCACGCGAGGACCGGTTTTCCCTTTAGGGTATAAGAGATGTATATAGACAAAACAGTTTGTCACAGCCTCTTCTCCCTCTCTGCCTACGGTTTACCGGGCAGCTCGGTTTGATGATATATATCAAGACATGTTCGCTTTCTGTGGTGAACTTAGTTTTTCTGCGTGAACTTAGTTTTTCTGCCGCTTCCTGATAGTCGGCTCCCTGCCCCGCTTTGAGTTCCGTTTTTTTTCTTTTGTGCTCCCTTTTTCTGTGTGGGACCCTTGAGGTAGTGTGCTTGTTTACATACAACAAGTCGGCTCGCTGCCCCGCTTTGAGTTCCCTTTTGTTTCTTTTGTGCTCCCTTTTTCTGTGTGGGACCCTTGAGTTGGTGTGCTTGTTTACATACAACAAGTCCAAGATCAACTCACTAGGAATCGAACCTATCACCTGCCACCAAAGAGGTGGATCACTTAACCAATAGGTGAAGTGAGCTGGTGAAGCCCCGTGAGGGACATTTCACCCCACCCCAGCATGGAAATTCATCCATGACCCTGTGCACCCGAACTCAACTCAACCCTAGTGCACGTGAGGGGTAACTCACAGCACCGGCCAGACCTCAACCAAGCACCACTGCAAGGGCGTCCGACCGGCTCTACGTGCTTGTTAACATACAACAAGTCCAAGACCAACTCACTAGGAATCGGACCTGTCACCTGCCACAAAAGAGGTGGATCACTTAACCAATTGGTAAAGTGAGCTGGTGTGTGTACAGCTCTGTGACATTCTTGAGAACTCTGTTACCTGGGTATGATGAACCTGGTCAGAGTGCCTGGATCATACCGAAAGGTCGCTTTTTGTGAGTGACGCCGGTGGCATTTCCCGGCCGGATTGTATAATAAACTGGGTCTCTCGGAACTTTCTCTCCTCCCTCCCCCCCCCACCAAAAAAAAAAAAAAACTTAAAATAAATAAATAAATAAATAAATGAATAAATTCAATTCGTAAGTTGGGTTGCAAGCATGGTGGCAATGTGTGAATTGAAACGGTGTGCTACTCATCAGTCCCCTGATGATGACCTCATTTCGGCGATGAGGTCGAAACCGGTTGGGAGAATGCCGGTTGCTTCCATGTTCATCACTCTTATTCACTCAAGTGGAAGCGCAGTTTGTGCTATTTCATCATCGGGTCTTTCTCTTTTCTCTTTCTCTTCTCTCTCTCTCTCTCTCTCTCTCTCTCTCTCTCTCTCTCTCTCTCTCTCTCTCTCTCTCTCTCTCCATCTATCTCTCTATCTATCTATCTATCTATCCTCTCTTACTTTTTTCTCCCCCTATCTTTTATCCAGCATGTCTTCTTTCTCTCTATAACGTTGACATTGAAGTTGGATGCGTGAGCTTGTTGTGCGGAAAATCTGCCGTGTGCATGAGTGGAGATCTTGGGGAGTACACGTTGATCGCAGGGCCCGTACCTGGCGTTGTGTTGCGCTAACAACGAAGCACTTCACATGGGCTTTGAAAGCAATTCATGATCTCATCAACTCCATCATGTATGCATATTTTTGCTCTAGCAAATCCAACAAATGATATAAAAAAAAATCCAAAGATAAATTATAAATGGAGGATGCAAAAACCATCGCCATGGGGATGACTCAGCACTCAGGATATAATTATCATAATACGGTATTAATACGGATATATGATTATCACCTTAAACGACTGAGCAATCTAACATGGGCATGCCTGCACATGTGCATGCATGCATGCACTCACACACGTGAACATCTATGCCGAGTAACCGGTTCAACGGAGGGGCTGGAATTAAACGGCCGTTGAAAGCCGTTTAATTTTCCCATGCCCCCGTTGAATAAAAAACGGACAAGGTCCACGGGGGCTCGGGTGTGTGGCCCAGCACCCCCGTGCGATTAAACTAACCCCCCCCCCCCCCCCCCCCCCCCCCCCCCCCCCCC